ACTGCAGGATCAGACACCGCTTCATTTCAAGATTACGAGGAGAAAGAATTTGTTGAGTGTTTCTCGGAGGAAACTCAACTTATCGACATATTTACACACTGTAAGTTACAACCACATAAGCTTTCTCAATCGCTCGCAACTCGTCTGAGTTCTTGCTAGTTCTGGTTTCTATTCGATAACATGAAGAATGATAAGTAGTAAAATTCATTTTCGACAACAGCCTCCATTCAGAGGAAATTTTTGCCCTTTTCGGTGTGATATCTTTTGTTTCTTTGAATTTATACTAGCTTCTTGGCAATTCAGTCGTCCACGGCTCCCGTGTTTTTATACATCAAGAATAAACAACCTGAATAACCGTTACGTAAACTATGGAGAATGTTTCGGCTATTTCACTCAGCTCGCAGAGACCTCGTTGTTTTAACAATGTAATCCTTCATCTTAATAAGACAGCTCAAAAAGACGTCGTCGTTCGAAATCATTCGTCCTTCATTCAGCGATGAGGGAACCTTCTCTGTCAGAGCGCGTAGAAAACCATGGAAAGAGTTGATTGACGTCCACGAAAACTCAGGTTTAAACAGACAGAAAAAAAGAACCCTTCAAAGGCGCGTGTTAGTGGTAACCGCTGTAATAATAATAATAATAATAATAATTTTATTGAACTGTAAAAAGATTTGTACATGACTCGTTTCACCTTGTCCTCAGAAGCAGCAAACAGCTTTATGTCTTCGATGTATAGTAGGTGAGTGATCTTAGTTGATATAGGCTTTGATAGCCTGTGTCCCTCAGTCGCCCGTACCTTCCATGCAATTGGATTCAAGCATGGTATGAACAGCCTATATAGGACACAGCGCATCCAAGAGCCTGGACCAACATAACACCTATAAGTTCCTAGGCGTCTTCGCGTTGTTAAGTCCTTGAGCTGCTTCCTAGCACGCTAGAAATTATCTTTGACATCACGCCTCGCAAATTTAACTATGATAGCTGGCGGTCCAGGCTTGCCTTTGTGTTTTTGACTTTGAGGCATTCGATGGCTTGCTGAAATGTCATTTTCAGTAATATCCACTCCTAACAGTTTACCGACATCCTTCACAGTCCCCTTTTTTTTCGTGAGATCGTTTAGATATACCGCGTCTTACCGTCACGAGTATCTCGATGATCTTATGGAAAAATAGAGAGGACTGTAAACAGTCTATTTTTTGCGCAAATTAGTGTGTAATTGTTACCATAAATTTTAGTCGATGCTGCGGCTGGTTACGGTTTGCCGCCCAGCCAAAGCTTTTATTTTTTACTCTGGGCATCCAGACGTTTGTACTGCCATAATAATGAAAATTAAATGTCATAATAATCCAATAACATCCAGAGAGAATATTCTCTCCTGTAACATCCTAAACTTATAATAAATCTCTTTAAAAATTATGCGTGCATTGGAACGTTTTGCACACTTTATATTTTAACAAGGCGACCATGCAATGAAATCTTTTCTAATGTCAGATACCTTCTGGTTTTTTACTTAACAGACCGTTAACATTTTAAAGGGTTTTTTTTCGCCATCGGGCGGCTGTTGTTCCTCTCCACTGCAACTTACTTGACGCCATTTTGTTGCCTGTGAAAGTGGTAACTGAGATCGACGCACTCCAGGTTGTGCCCGCTACCAGACGGCGAATGACGCAGCAACCTCATCCCCCGTCTCCCGGACTGAACCGTGCACGGAACTTAAATATTTCAATCTAAGTGACAGTGAGCAAGTCACGACTTGCCGGTTTATTTTCCCTCGAAAAAAATTAAAATATGCCGAGATCAAAATAGTACTTGCAGTGGTACCTTTATGCAAAGCACAAAAATTATGCTAGTTTTTTTCCAAACTATGCAAAAAATTTGTGAGACTTTGTTCTCAATCACCAGTGACCATTTTTGTTCCAATTTAAGGATTAAAAAGGAGCCGAAGCTAACGAGAAAAAACTTACGGCATTCTTGTTCATTGCAAGAAGCTGTCTTGTTTGCTGGTCCCAGTCCCAGTTCACTGCAGTTCTTTCCACCGTTGGTTGGCGGGGGATTGGTGCAGGTTCTCTTAAATGTTCCTACACCTCCACCACACGTCACACTGCAATTATAAAGCGTCCATTCGGTGTAGTTACCGTTCACAGCTGTAAAAGACATAAACAGAAAATTTGCCTCCATGAATATCCGTTGCATTGTGATTTATCGTTTCGAGGTCCGTGAGCAGGTTTTAAATTCAGTTTACTGACTTTACCTCTTCAGCGCACTGACAAAAAGATTGAAATCTGAAGTGGTACAGGTCATCCCGGCAAAAGTTCCGAAAAATATGGAAAGCCTCAGGCGTATTCTCTTTTTCTATCCCAACAGGAATAGCTGGAAAATATTAGCCTGGGAGCAATAAAGCACTCCGTTTCGAGTGGCAAACAAATGCGCGATCAAGTGGCTAAGATGAATGTCATGACCAGGAAGATGAAAATATATTTCTAAGATCTGCAAAAATTACTGACATGATGTATGTGACTTATTGTGTTATTTCTCGATTAAACAGGGACTACCATAGATTGATTCTTGGCCACGTGGTCTTGCTTAAATTCAAATGAATCTCGATTGTGATACAAAGAATGATGGGAAGTGGCGTGACAGAAGGTGGGTAACATTGCCAATTTTCGCTGTCGTGGTTACCTGGCAACACAAATTTAGTCTCTATCTTAAAAAACAGAAACGATTTTCGAAGTTACCCAAGAAGAGAATTACAGCAGTTTCAGGAGGAAAAGCCTCAGATAATACAAGGAAAGTATTTTGTAAATCATTCATTTAGTGGATTCGAGAATTAATTTAATATTTGTGCTTTTTTAAGTAGCAACATTTTTTTAGATTCGCGCTTTATTCTTTGTCCCTGTTGAAGTGAAAGTCTGATCTACGAATATAACAAAACACTTAATGTCAGGCTCCACGGGGAACCAGTTTTGTTTTCCGTCGACTTCGTCTCTGGAAACACCAATCTAACTCGGTTTCCCTTGGGTCTTGCCATAAAGTGTATAATGTTGATAGAGGTTTAGTTCTTATTATATTCCTCGATTTAGCTCTTTCCTGGTCACTAAAATCATAACCATGAAACAAGCCAAGAGACTTACGGCATCCTTGTTCATTGCATGAGGCTGTTTTGTTTGCAGGTCCCAGTTCACTGCAGTTTTTTCCACCGTTGGCTGGTGGAGGATTGGTGCAGGTTCTTGTAAAAGTCCTTACACCTCCTCCACACGTCACACTGCATTTAGAAATCGTCCAGTTGGTGTACCCGCCGTTCACAGCTGTAAAAGAGATAAAACGTTTGTTTAAAATTTGCACTTACAAAAATAAGCCCCTCGTTCAATCAGTAACAAAAGGAAGACTTCCTATCATAACGATGGAAAAGACTCATCTGGGCAGGGTGGTAATGCGATGAAAAAGATTTTTTAATTCTTTCATTCTTCACTTATTAAGGGGGTATATTTCTAATTCAGTGGACTTAAACCGGAAAAGCATGGCCATGGGTTTTCCCCATTTTAGATTTTTATAATTATTGAACATAAGTGTATGGACGTTAAACTAACGTATAATCTTAACACTGTCAGTTGACTGTAGCCATGATGTTTCTATATATTTACGGTTTGCAATGTGTATTCCATTTAACTTACAGTCAAACCTAACGGGCACCTCTCCACAACGGCTACTTTTTTGGCGGACAATCCATTCAATGACCGTTCTTTTAACCTCTGAGCCTGTTCCAGGTGTTCGGATAGTGGAGTGCGGCGCGAAGAAAGAGAGCGAGAAAAAAATCCCTCGCTCTCACCTCTAGCCCACCCCCTCGTTGTTGTTGTTGTTTTTTCTGCTCAGGTATCTTTTTGCGCTGTCCCCACGATCTGAACGCCTGGAACAGGCTATAAACCGCTCTACAACGGTCATTTTCTTCCCTTCCCTTCTGTCTTCCTGCTCTTCTGTTCTAGTGGCCTTTGTCGTGAGGTTCAACTGTAATAGATGCTGTGTTTGAAGTCAATGCCCCAATATTGCAATATTTCATGGAAAATTGCTGAGACAATTATAAACCCAGCTCATTTTGAAATGCATATATCCCTGCTACAATAAGAGGTTGTATAAGGCACACTGGTCAAAAAAATTGAGGTGTACCGGCCTCGAAAGTGAGGAGTGATATCTGGCAGAGGCTTTGTGACATGTTTTAAGGTAGTGTGAACATCTAATCGGCCATCAGGGAAGTAATTAAGTAGGAGCGAAGACAGGAACCCCCTGAGACGGAAGTAAATATTCAGGAGCTGAGAAGTGGAATTTAGTGCAGCAAAACCCTCTCGGCTAACCTCGGCGGCACGATGTTCGATGTGTGTGAACGACGTGTGCCTCCCCCAGGCCGTTGCTCTTCATACTACACGAGATACCTTTTCGTGACGCCAAGAAAAGCTATAGCTGAACATAGCCTTATCTCGTGATGACCGAGAGTGAGGTCAAACGAACCGGCTTAGTCTGTTCAATGACGTGTTAACGAGAAAAAAGTGGGAAATCCCAAGGGGGCGAGATAGGCCAATTTTGCGCGCTCGCGACGCTATGTAGCATATCAGTTAAAACCACCTACGACACAAAGCAGCTAACACGTCGTCAAAATGTTTGGTCAGGGCTGAAAAATCCTGGTACATAAGCACTCGTCCCTTGTTACCAGCCATTTCTTTCATCTTTAGTTTGTTTTCTTTAGCCTTCCAATTTTTGCCCAGTATTCCAACGACAGTGATGCTAACATCTTCGTCCTGCGAAACGAACAAAACTCAAGGATTGAACTTGCAGCTATAGGCAAACCAAAAATCAAGACTAACTTGATAATAAAGTTTTTGGACAGAGAGGAGGGGATGAAAGAGATCTTGACAAGAAGTGTTTTTTAAAGGCTTTTATTTTATTGCTACACTAGTACGCACGCTATGATAAGCCGCTAAGCGAACATTATTTTCTTTGTCATGATCGAGCATTACTAGCTAGGTGTTCAGGGCATATACAGTCTGTGCTTAACTTGATAGTGGACACCCTTATAGACATGTGATGGTCACTTGACAGCTGTCAAAAAGGGCATCCGCTGACCAGTGTCACATGACTGTACTGCGGGCTCAAGTGTACAACTAATTGATGTGAAACGTCTTTTAAAGTTATCCGCTGATCAGTTATTGGCTTCAATTGATCGCAGGCTAAGGTTCATACTGAAAAGACCATTTAATAAATAACTTATTAACCTCTTCGTTTGGTCATTACAGTGAAATCTCAAACCTCGCCCTCGGTCTGAGATTTCCCTGTAATGACCTCACTCTCGGTTAATAAGTAGTATTTTAATGAGAGACGTACAACACCCCTTAAGAATCTGAGGTTTTGATCTGGGTTAACATCTGGGTCTTGGGTTGGTTTTGCTCTCGTATTCAATTCTTGCTCTCTCTCTAGGATTCTATACTGATCAATTTTTTTGGAAAAAGCACAATCTTAACCCATTCGCTCCTGGAAATTTTGCCCAAAAACGCGTTTTGAAGCTAGTCGAGTGGTTTTCTGGTCACTGTCGTGCTATAAAGAGCTAAAACTTACCACAAACCGGTTTACAGGTCGTACACTTGGCGGCCTTCTGATCCAGATGCAAAACATCAGCTTGCGAAGTTCGGGCATGCGCAGAAAGCAAAATTTCGACATTTTTGGGTTTAAAAGTGACACAGCAGTCTTGACTTTTACTTTTCGCTTTCTCTCCTCCCTTCTTTTTTCGCTTTTCTTGCCTCATTTTTTTTCTCTTGCTGGGCATTTAGTAGGCTTCATTTTGGTGGGAAGAGTTTTTAGGAAAGCTTTTAGGATCTTAGGATTAGGTGAAAGGAAAGGTAGGTGGGTAATGGAACAAGATTTTCATGGAGATTTTCAGGTCCTTGTCACGTGGTTTTTTGCTTCTTTCTCCGGTGTCCTTGACTGAATTGTGCTCATTCTGGTATGGTTTGAAAGATCTCTTCACTCTACACAAGTTAGCGAAGAAAGTTGTCCTTGACCGTTAAAACTGATGACGTCACAAAGGGTAGAAAGGACCTGGATCCGCACGGGCGGTTACGGGCGGTTCAGGGGCGAATGGGTTAAACGGAAATAGGACCCAAAGAAACACTTTAGAAACAACATTTGGAGTACAACCAAAATAGCGTAACAACTAACAATGCACGAAACATTGATTTACACCAAATTTACTCAACTGATGCAACTTTAGTGCAAAAAAATGCAAAGGGCAAAGATGGTAAATACCGCATTTGCCCTCGAATTTACAACCGCAATTAAACTGGTTTGAAACTGCTGCAGTATTTACCATCTTTGCCTTTGATTTCCCTCTAGTTTGCATTTTTTGCACCGTATTTGCCCCGAGTAATTTGTGTAAATCCAATTTTTTGTGCAGTGTAACTTGAACAACAGTGGCCCCGGCGCCAAAAACCATTGCAGTTATGCAGTAGACAAGAAATCTTATATAGACCGTTTGTTTGTCTATAAAGTTCCGATATGGTAGGGTTAGCTTTGTAAGGAAAATTCCCAAATAATAGCCCAACTGAAATAGCCGCCTTACATAATTATGTGTTCGGAGAGGTTTTGTTTATGACTTAAAAGACTTACCTCCAGTGTTTTTGTGCTCTCTGAAAAGTTTTGGAAGGGTAAAATAGTTTGATCTTGTTTTAACATAAATTGTTTTCCATCAGTTAAGACAAGCAGAACATTTTTTGCCTCTGGTCTGTCTCCACCATCGCTAGTGAATAGCTCTGTTGCTGCCTTGTGTAGAGCAATATCTGCACGAGTTCCCCACTGATTCCTACCGGGAACTAGAAGGACTTTCTTCTTCATCAGCAGTTTAAACGCAGCCTGTTTATTGTAGTACAGCTGCGTTCCAAAATTGTGGTGGATTTTGACTTTACGATCGAACGTAATAAAACCATAGTGGTTTCCTCCATCGGAGAGAGGGTAATTGTCTATCAACTTGCTAGCCAATACGTACAGGGTCGTTCTTTCCTTTTTCCTCATGCTTAGTGAAGTGTCAGTCAGAAGAGCTATATCCAACTTCTCAGTACAGTTACCTAAATTGAAAGAACACGTGTGTACGTTGAAAAACAAAACGATTTTTTAAAAATGTGGCAACCTAACACCAGCAGTCACACGGGAGCGAGCTTTTTTAAGAAAAGAAAAAAATGAATAAGTATTCGCCACAAAAACGTGTTAAACGACGATAATAATTGTTCATTAGCTTTCATTGTTCAGTCGCCAGTAACTCGTTTCATACTTTACATAAATATCTCTTTAAAACTGCAGATTCCAGCGCTCGTCAGTTATCTGGCGCTCGAAGGAAAGCACTTTTCTTTACTGATTCTTGTAACAGGCCATCAATGCTATTTTTATTACTGTCAATATCATGGGAAGTAAACAATAAGACTGCGTGGGCTCTGAAAATACAGGATGCCCGGATAATGTCAGCGAAATGATAACAACGCAAAATTAATTATGAAACGGGCAAATTGAGCGATGCACACACTTGACTAAGAGAAAGCGTGGTACTACAAATTTGAAACTAAGCCACTCATTGGGGGAGCTTGAAGCTTTGGTGTCTTTCACATGGCCAGCGGTAGAGTACTTCGTGTATAACATATTTTCGGTTTATAATAGTCTTCATTTTATTGAGTACCTTCCGAACGCTGTCAATTGACTTAACACAAAAAAGGCAAGTTCATCATGAACCGGATCTTTGGTGCAAAAAGAAGACACACCAAAGCCAAGTATCCTCTCATGCAGACGTTCTTAAGGGGTTCGTCACGTCATCACAGGTAAGAAATGCTTGGCGAAGTCCTAAGAACGTCTGAACATCCCTGTGTCTCTCAAAAATCAACTGGTTTGTACGATTACATTGTTGGAGCCCAAGATAGAACAGTGAGCTTATAAATATTTTGAACTTTTGAGGCAAAACAGTTTCAGAATTATATGTTAAATAACAAGGCGGGGGAAATTCTCCAGATCAGCTAACCTAAGATACGACGATGGACACGTGGACAAATATGACATAGTACCTTGGTTTTTTTATACTATTTGTGTGGTAAGCTCATTAGTAATCACATATGCATGAGAAAATGTCTTATCATGTGAATATGGTTTTACTTACCTTGTACCTGACCAACATCTGGAAGAAAACAACCAGACCCAATTGTCAGAGTTACCGTGGCAAAGATGATAGAAATATAAAAGTCCCATACAAGATAACTTAAAGAGACAACTAGGGCTCAAAACCTACAAGGTTTCGTAACGATCGGTAAATTTAAACTTTGGCTGGAAGAACCTGAAATAGGAAATCAATAAGATGGATATGGATTCTTTCGTCCTTATAAAACCGTTTTCAAGCTGTTCTTTCTAGCATTATTTTATTGTTTTTGAGCAGTACAGTGGAACATCGCCTAACTACCAACACGTTCAAACAACCATCTTGTTCTTAATACTACATTCTTTCGATTCAAACGTAAGTGACACTATCTATCGTTAATACAACCACGTTTTACAGTTTCTCGGCGGTTCTTTACACAGACACTTGAATCCTGAACTGCCAATGAAAATACCTTGGTTCTTTCTTCCGGGATTAATGAAATGTTTGGGTAGTTATACATAACTACTATGAGAATAAGCCACCTGTCGGTATAATAACTAGGAAAAGATGCTTCTACGTATACTGATTTCCAAGCTCAGTAAAGAGGTAGACATACTTACGTAAAGACAAGCCCAAAATGATCACAGCCAAAATCCACAAAGTATTCATTGCATCTGCAACTGGAAAATGAGATACAAACAAAGTCATTTTTGAAAATGAAATTTTTTGCTGACTTAAAAAAACCTCCTTTTGATAAAAATACAACAACAGAGCAAACATCTATTTATTTGATATGAAAAACGTTTACAATTATCACTCAGACGATTCCCACAGCGGAGTAGCGCTATTCTAGGTGGGTAGCAATACAGAAATAAACAGGGCTAGCTCAAAAAATAAATAAAAGAAAAGCGAAACAAGGAAACGCTAGTAAAAATAATAGAGTAAAGTGCATATGACGGTTGTTAAGTGATGGTAATGGGTCTCAGAGAGGTTAGTTCATGTCAGCAAAGCTCTCCATGTAAACGCTGGACAACGCCTTCTTGCAACGGGAAAAGTTAACTCCCGGGCGGAATATGAGGGCATTCAGCGGACACGATTTTCAGATCGCTCAACATGTTGCCTTAGCGTCACGGAAAATCCCAGGATATTTCACATGAGCGTACGTGATGTGCAAACGTCTCCCGCCAAATTTGAAAAATGCTGGTGTACAATTAGACGCGGGGTAAAGACCAATTTGCAAATGACCTCACTAACCGATAGCAATTACTGTTAATACAGAAAATGAGCGCAATTCAGAAAAGATTCAACAAAAACTGACCAATTTAGAATATTCAATGCTGTGGTTATTGTCATCAATGCTGTTGTTGTTGTTGTTTCTTGGTGAGACGAGTGACAATGTCGATGGCGTGACTCGGAAAGCAGAAGCCTAATAAATTCCTCTGAAGCAGTCTAATTTTTTTTTGGCGTCGCTAGCTGTTTCTGCGATAAAAACATAAAATCTCGAGCAACTTGTGGAAAGCCCTAGTCATGCCCCGACCACTTTTATTGTTTATTTTTTCTCCATTTATTTATTTTACAAGCCATTTATATTGCATTGTATTACAAGATTTGAAGATGAAGATGCTATTTGTAGAATTAAGTTACAAGAATAAATGGAGAGGGCAGGATATAGTTAAACTAATTACTTGCCCTTTGATTAAATTACAGTTTTATTTAGGTTAAAAGAAAAAAAGAAAAAAGTATAAACACTATAAACTATGAAAAATATATAAAAGAGAGGAACAAAGAAAAGCACACACACACAGACACACACATAAAAAATATGACATTTGAGAGTCGGTGTGGCGATGATTTATACTGAGCAAGATAATAGTTGAAAAGTGCTCTTTTAAACAATTTTTTAGTTGTCTTTTCACGTATAGGTAAAGGAATATCATTCCAATAATAGTATCCTATAACTGTTGGACAGAATTTTCTTATATTTACTGAAGCTACGGGATTTAGGTGTTGCAGGGATGCACTTCAGTTGCGTCATAATTACGTTGCTCATAATTTTAGCTACTTTTTTGTCCACTTTTTATTACCTCTGACCCGGCTTGCTAACAGAAAATAACAGCTGTAGCTTTCTAGCTGACGTACAAAAGATCTGCGGGTGAACAAGCAGATTGTTACTGTAAAGGATGATTCCCACTGACGCGTGTTTGGCTACGCACGTTAACGCAAGTAAATTTTAATCACTTAAATAAAATAGGGGCAAGATAAAAAGTGCTGAGCTTAAAGGATCAAGAAGTTGAGCGAGGTTCAACTTTTACGCTTACAAGCAACCGTTCATGCATTGCCTCTGTTTTATTGCGAACATAAATTTTACGCACGAACGCACGTAAATTACGCGACACTAGAAATCAACCCTTACAGTGATTTGTTGCAAAAATGTTGATGTGCAAAGTTTCAACAGTGCATAGTATGATAGGCTTCTCCAAACGCCGATTTGAAGTGAAATATGCGAGATTTTCTTCGCCCCAAGTCTCTTTGCAGGATATATATTATATTTCTCAAATCACCCAAGCTTTCCTGTCCCACCCCTCAACGTTCAAATGGTCCCCCCGTAATGGTAAAAGGCAGATTTCTCTTTGCAAAAACAAGTTTGTTCCACTCTTATCAGGTAACCCTGCTTTAAACGAGGCCATATCATTCGACAGATCCATATCGGTCAACATTGGAGTAAAACTAGAAGGAATTGTAAAATAAAGAAATTTTTGTTTGCTGCCCAGTGAAGACTCTCGCTTTGCAGTCTTCTCTAATACCATGGTATGGGAGCTTAAAGTTTTTGAGCGATAACTTGGTAGTAAGTTACTCTCCCTTTTTCTCGAACGCAAATAAAATAGACAAGAAATTGTATGTGATTGCACGAAAATCGGGTGTATTTATTTCCAGTTTTTCTGGCGTCCGAAAAAACGCATTTGTTTTGCAAGAAAAGAAATATTAAAAGAAGGAAAGTCTGCCATCTTTTATTTAAAACAGCTTGGATTTTCAAATTAGCCCCTCTGGCAAGAAGAGGATAGACAAAAAGAGAAATGTTTATTACAGAATTGATAATAAACATCTTGGGATTTTCCGTGACGCTGAAACAACGTGCACATTGGGCCTTAAAATCGTGTCCGCTATATACCCCCATACTCCGCCCGGGAGATAAAATTCCCCTCTTGCAACACACAAGCTCTGCCATTGAAGTTATATGTCGCACATCCTGGTCTTGCAGTCCCTGCTGTTTAAACCGGCAGCTGAGTATCCAGCGCCTTTAAAAAATAGCAATCGGTGCCAAGGGAAGGTAAAAGAGGTCGGGCCTCGTTCTAATCACCTCATACTTTCCGCGAATTAGTGACTATGATGAATTGTCAGAACCCTGACGATTTGTTCATCAGTGGGTCGACGGGGCTATGATGCTATGATAACTACAAATCCGAAAGGAAGCCTATATTCCGCTTAAGACGTTGGTTGACCCAAAAACGAAAGTTAAGGTTGGATGCTGAAATGCAAGAACAATGTTTCCAGCTCGTAGGACAGGTCAAACAATAACTGAGATGTATCGTTATTGTTTTGGTATTTTTGGGAGTTCTGATGTGAAAGCCGGTAGCCAGCAGGCTTTGGACGACTGAAGACACCATCTTCTACTCGGGCACGGAAGACAATGTACAAAAAAACACATTGAAAACACCACCGTTTTCAAACTTAGTAAAATTTATAAATTAGAGTATAAATGCATCTCAACCTCTTTCTTTCTATATGTAGGGAAATAAGTAACTTTTCATTCACAGCCCAATGTTCCTATCATAAAAGTTTTGGATAACCCTCTTTTAGTGATGATATTGCCGAAGCAAATTGATTATATGAATTCTACTATCTTAGTGCGAAATTAAAGGGATGGTCTTGATAAAGTTTACTGTAATTGGTCGCTTGGCATAGGTTTATTGCTCAACATTAGAACTAACCTGGATGGTGTTGATCATCCACGCTCCTCAGAGTTCAAAATTATTTTAGTAAATGTGATCGGAGACTAAAAGAGTCTGTTGCTGGGCGAAGAGATGTTCTTGGTCAAACACGGTTTATGATTCGACAGCTAGTTAGTTTGTCATTGACTTTTTTTTTAAACTGAGACGTCATAATGCAAAAGAATACAATTAGCACGCCTCAAAGAAAGAAAGTTTAAAATTAGCCAGGGTCGAAAATTTATTGGAAAAACGTTCGATGGAGGTTACAGTAGTTAAAACTATTTGACCTTAAATTAGATAAGGCGTAAAAAGACTGTATCCTCTGTCACGTCATAAAGTTTTCATGAGCAATACTTTCAATTAGACAATCATGAAAAAGAATCCATTGGATAGTTTACAAAGTACTAATAAGTGACACATTTGGTGCCTGAAATGACAAAAAATGTCAACGGTAGACAGTCTTGGCAAGTGGCCTCCCATAAAATATCAATACAACTTAATGAGAGAGTCCACAATCACAAAGCGAATAGCCTGGCGAATTAAAATAAATCATGGTAATTGCCAAATGGCGAAGTCAGATGGGATAAGATGAGTGGCCATGTTTGTTTGAAATAAGAGCCATAATATATCTCTTGTTTGAACTTGTTAAAATTCTGCCAATTCCAAAGCGCTTGTTTCATGCATGATATCAGTTTTATCTTGGGGATTTTTTCGGGCCATTTTCCTTTTCATTAACATCCTTACTTATTATTAAGGAATGGCTTTTACTAATGGGAAATGAATTTCGTTATTGTTCTATTCAACTTTCAGTTCCCACTGATGCCTGTTTAAGATCCGGAAAGAGTTATCCAAGTAGGCGGGTTATTCTTGCACCCCCACATTTCAGACATTTATTTTTGCTTCACAAAGCGACGTATTTACAAGGTTATTGGGGTTACCCCGGAGCTTGGGAAACCCTACCTGCTATGTGAATACTCGACTGTTGTTTGAAATAAAAAAAATAAAGAAATAAAGAAAAATAAAATAAAAAGCCATGCTCAATTCCTTTTCCATAATTTGATCATTTATAATGAAGAGTTCAATTCAAAATAATTGATAGTTAAAATAATTCTCCTTGACACTAACTGGGAGGTACTAAGTGAGCCAACGTGAGTCATCGTGTTATTCATTTCGCTGAAAGACGGATTAAATGACTTTCGCAATATTGTAGTAGATATGGCTTTTTACAACGTAAACATTTATTAAGGGAAGAAAATCTCATGTCAAGTTTGTAGTCAAGATGTCCCACTCTTAAGAGTTCTATTTTGTTTGTGGTCACGGAAGGAGAAATCAGTTCTCAGCTCCTTCACAGTCCACGTCTTTAAGAATTCAAGAAATTTAAAACGATAACTGATTTGTAGTACAAAAAGGGTGTAAAGAGGGGTGCAGTCTTTATAATCTCGCTCGTGCGTGATGCACGAAAGGCACACTTTTAGGTAGTGGTATATTGGTTATTTACCTTGCACTTTTCTTAGCAGTAAATATTTGAAAAGCTCCAGAACGGTACCGTAAAAATTCCCACAACCACTTAATTTTTCAATTTGGTTAGGTTCAAAATTTTTGACAATTGAATCGGCCACTACCAATCTCTCTCTATAAATCATAGCTCATGCTTCACTTATATGTTACTGGTCATGTGGTTTAAATACCTTTGCCTAATTAGTTTTGTACAGAAATATTTCCTTGAATTTTTTTTTAATATGTTAAATATGTTATATCTAGCTTTCAAATATTCACTTTAAGCCTTGTTTTGGAAATAAACACTGAATTTGCATTGTAGAATAAAAGAAACTCTAGTGATTCGAGATTTAAAACCTGCTTTAAATGAAAATGTTGGCAAAGAAAAACTTTTTCTCTACTTCTTGTTTCTCAAAGATATTCTGGGAACCAGGAGTTCCCAGTTTTGTCAAGGATACCCTGTTTAACTAGACTAATTTTTCTCAGTTAGTTCAAGCCTGGTTAAACTCTTATTAATTCAGTTCTTCAAGAGCCAGGTTTAGCCCGGTTTTTCTGGTTATTGAATGAGAAACCAGGCTAGCCAGTGAAACCCTGGCCATGCATGGTATACCAGGATAACCTGGTTTATTGACTTACTTTAAGAGCTTGGTAAAGCCTGGTTTACCAGTCTTGCCAAGCTAACCAGGAATACCATGGTTAACCAGGCTTTTTGCACATATGGCTCAAGCCTGGTAAGCGTGGTTCATTCAGAATTTCACGAGCCTGGTTTAAGTCTCGTTGTTCTGGTTGTTAGAATAACCAGGCTTACCAGACTTACCAGGAATACCCTGGTTAACCAGGCTTTTTGCACGTATGGTAAAGTCTGGTAAGCCCGGTTTGAAAGCCAGATAAGTCTGGTTGGTTCAACCAGGCTTGAACCCTGGTAAACCCTTGTTTAACCAGGCTTTTGGCGCAAGGCTAAGCATCGTATATTATAATTTCCGATGCAGACTTCAAATTGCGTCACTGTCATCATCATTTTTGTCATTAGTTATTGCTTTTACCTCTCTATCAGGTTCCAGTCTTTTCCTAGATCTTTAAATTTTACTGTAATCTTTTTAACCATCACTTCTGAAGATGTATGTTGTTACATATTACGAAACGTCAAGTCTTTAACAGTCTAACCATTTCTGCATGTACATCGGTTTCGCGCGTTGTGATTGGTTGAGGTCAAAACCAAAACAAAATAAACTTGGTCGAAGAATAAACGAAGAACACTGGAATCGAAATCAGTAGAGGTTTGACATTTATTATGAAGGCAGCCATTTGCCGAAAGTATACAAGGCTTGACCTTTCCTCACTCTGAAAGATTGAAGCCGATTCTTTCCAGTACAAATTCATCGTTTGGACGTCGCGGTCTTCCACCCCCGGCAGGGTCGTGACATGGTATATCGGGGACCCATTTATCCCTATTTTCTTGCCCTAATTTTTACCCCCGAGTCCCATTTTCCCCAAATTTAGATCCCTGTGCTCTGATGAAAAAATTGATCCCAGTCATGCTTTTACACAAAAATTTCAACTCAAAAAACTTTGTTTATCCCCAGACATGGAATATAGAATATGCTCAACATTAACTTTTTAGATCAAGTTGTAAGTTGTATCAGAGCTTTAAAGATAAATATAAGTCAACCTCTTTTTGTGCATTTAGTTTATTTAAAATACTTTAAATATAATGTTTGGCGATACTAGATAGACAAATGTTAAAACGCGATTTTCTTAAACGGGAGCTTTAGTAAGATACATAATGTAAGTTATTATTAATTCGTACCTTAAAAGTAGTCTACTCCCCTTTAAGTATGGCACATCTTGAAAGATCTTGCGGCGGAAACTTGACTTTTTCATATGCTACGTTCATAAAGAGTATTTAAAAGGTTTATTTTCAGACAGTTGCTCTCACGAGTAAGGCCACCGGAGGCTTATAAGCTAATCACAAGAAACCATAAGATTCAAAATTCGAACTGACATCAAATACATTTTTTGCTAAACAGCAATCACAGCTGGTTGGTACCCGGTTGAAAAACGTACAGCACTGTAAACTACTTCTGAACTAACGTCTTACTCTAGCTTTCCACTTCCTATCCAGTAGGAATATCTGCTTGCCCTCAGGGATAAATTGTCCAGTTGATATTAATGTCCTATCTGTGTGGGTCAGAGATGTTTTATTTCCAAAGAGACTCTTGCAACCAAAGACGTCGGTTGATTATGAATCTCAGGCAGCTGACCTGCCTTTTGACAGATCTTCTTTTTCCTCCTTCTGGCTGACAGGCTTTACTGGTCTACATACAGTAATGTGATATTAATGAAGTGTAATCGTTTGCCTCACGATGTAGTCACTTAGTGATATGTAGATCGCGAGGTTTCAACTGCGTACTGCCAGTGTTCATTAGGAATTGCAACACTAAAAGACCTTGCCTTGCTGGTCTTCGTCGCCTCGTGAACTTATATGACTCCAAGCTCGGTTCTGATTGGTCGATTCTTAGCTGCTGAGATTGGTGCATTTCTCACTTCGTTGTTTGTAGGAGCCGTTGCCTCTGACTGGTCGCTGTCGTACGGATCTGACTCCTACTGCTGTGTTTCTTGATTAAGGGAAACCAAGCTGCTGGAATTTCTATTCTGCTATCCCTGTTGATGTTGTTAGGGTCTAGTCTTATGTATATTTCTTCTTTCACTCTGCTTGTGTTACAGTGTCACGATCACGATCAATTACCAATAGCAAACCACTTGCTTTACATGAGGTCAAAAATTAAGTGATGCAAGCCACTGGTTCTACAGATTAACAGCTTTTTCTGCATCAAGCCCACTATTGGCTTTTCCTGGCTTCATAACTAGATTGTCAGAGGACATATCTGGTTGAACGTCCAGAGCTACTCGTTCCAGCTTTGAATCTAATTCAGAAAAGTTGTCCACCTGAGCTTTGTCCCCTTCCTCTCCGTCACCACCTGACTCAGATGAATCATCTGATTCAACTGACCCCTGGAGCAATGAAACTAGGCGTTGCTCTTCAAGGCGGCTCAAACAGAAGTTGTATCCATCTTTTATTATCTGCACATTCCCGCATGATACCCTGTCTCAGGTGAATTTCTATCATCACGGTGCCCAATCTGGTATACAAGAGGATCTTCTAGTTCTGACTGTTCCAGCCATCTTAAACCCAGGAATGATACTGTTACTTCTTGTAGTTGTGCTTGAGAGCAACTACGTCGCCTTCTGAATAGATGTTAATCCTCATATTACTTGACGGCGCCGTTTTTCCTTCACTCCCTTGAACCTCTTTCAGTAGATCGACTTCTGTGCCGCACATTCCTTCCGCTCTGAACATACTCATAGCAAGCGGAAGTGTACCAACTCTTTGGCCTTCTCTCTTGTTCTTTGCTGTCGTACACCTCGTCCTGCAATGTCCGAATTCTTTCGCAAAGCTCTGCAAAGCCTTCCTTTGAATTTTCGCTCCTTTTCGTCCGCGCTCATAAATGTTTAGTGATTTCCTAAACTACTTTAAGTGACATTTCGTCACGGGCCATACGACTTATTTCTATTCCGCGAACCAATTCTATGCTCTAGTTTTTATTGTGATAGCGATTCAGAAAAAAAGATGATGGTCATTAATTCCCCAAAAGTTGTCTCACCTACAAACGTAGTAAAATTCAATATCATCATCAGGAATTCTGCCCTTAACGTTTGTGCAGCGTTAATGAACCATACATTACATCGTTATTATTGGCCCCTCTGGCAAGAAGAGTATAGACAAAAAGAGAAATGTTTATTACAGAATTGATAATAAACATCTTGGGATTTTCCGTGACGCTGAAACAACGTGCACATTGGGCCTTAAAATCGTGTCCGCTATATACCCCCATACTCCGCCCGGGAGATAACATTCCCCTCTTGCAACACACAAGCTCTGCCATTGAAGTTATATGTCGCACATCCTGGTCTTGCAGTCCCTGCTGTTTAAACCGGCAGCTGAGTATCCAGCGCCTTTAAAAAATAGCAATCGGTGCCAAGGGAAGGTAAAAGGGGTCGGGCTTCGTTCTAATCACCTCATACTTTCCGCGAATTAGTGACTATGATGAATGCGGTACAATAAAAAACGAATTGCCAGAACCCTGACGATTTGTTCATCAGTGGGTCGACGGGGCTATGATGCTATGATAACTACAAATCCGAAAGGAAGCCTATATTCCGCTTAAGACGTTGGTTGACCCAAAAACGAAAGTTAAGGTTGGATGCTGAAATGCAAGAACAATGTTTCCAGCTCGTAGGACAGGTCAAACAATAACTGAGATGTATCGTTATTGTTTTGGTATTTTTGGGAGTTCTGATGTGAAAGCCGGTAGCCAGCAGGCTTTGGACGACTGAAGACACCATCTTCTACTCGGGCACGGAAGACAATGTACAAAAAAACACATTGAAAACACCACCGTTTTCAAACTTAGTAAAATTTATAAATTAGAGTATAAATGCATCTCAACCTCTTTCTTTCTATATGTAGGGAAATAAGTAACTTTTCACTCACAGCCCAATGTTCCTATCATAAAAGTCTTGGATAACCCTCTTTTAGTGATGATATTGCCGAAGCAAATTGATTATATGAATTCTACTATCTTAGTGCGAAATTAAAGGGATGGTCTTGATAAAGTTTACTGTAATTGGTCGCTTGGCATAAGTTTATTGCTCAACATTAGAACTAACCTGGATGGTGTTGATCATCCACGCTCCTCAGAGTTCAAAATTATTTTAGTAAATGTGATCGGAGACTAAAAGAGTCTGTTGCTGGGCGAAGAGATGTTCTTGGTCAAACACGGTTTATGATTCGACAGCTAGTTAGTTTGTCATTGACTTTTTTTTTAAACTGAGACGTCATAATGCAAAAGAATACAATTAGCACGCCTCAAAGAAAGAAAGTTTAAAATTAGCCAGGGTCGAAAATTTATTGGAAAAACGTTCGATGGAGGTTACAGCAGTTAAAACTATTTGACCTTAAATTAGATAAGGCGTAAAAAGACTGTATCCTCTGTCACGTCATAAAGTTTTCATGAGCAATACTTTCAATTAGACAATCATGAAAAAGAATCCATTGGATAGTTTACAAAGTACTAATAAGTGACACATTTGGTGCCTGAAATGACAAAAAATGTCAACGGTAGACAGTCTTGGCAAGTGGCCTCCCATAAAATATCAATACAACTTAATGAGAGAGTCCACAATCACAAAGCGAATAGCCTGGCGAATTAAACTAAATCATGGTAATTGCAAAATGGCGAAGTCAGATGGGATAAGATGAGTGGCCATGTTTGTTTGAAATAAGAGCCATAATATATCTCTCATTTGAACTTGTTAAAATTCTGCCAATTCCAAAGCGCTTGTTTCATCCATGATATCAGTTTTATCTTGGGGATTTTTTCGGGCCATTTTCCATTTCATTAACATCCTCACTTATTATCAAGGAATGGCTTTTACTAATGGGAAATGAATTTCGTTATTGTTCTATTCAACTTTCAGTTCCCACTGAGGCCTGTTTAAAATCCGGAAAGAGTTATCCAAGTAAGCGGGTTATTCTTGCACCCCCACATTTCAGACATTTATTTTTGCTTCACAAAGCGACGTATTTACAAGGTTATTGGGGTTACCCCGGAGCTTAGGAAACCCTACCTGCTATGTTGATACTGGACTGTTGTTTGAAATAAAAAAAATAAAGAAATAAAGAAAAATAAAATAAAAAGCCATGCTCAATTCCTTTTCCATAATTTGATCATTTATAATGAAGAGTTCAATTCAAAATAATTGATAGTTAAAATAATTCTCCTTGACACTAACTGGAGGTACTAAGTGAGCCAACGTGAGTCATCGTGTTATTCATTTCGCTGAAAGACGGATTAAATGACTTTCGCAATATTGTAGTAGATATGGCTTTTTACAATCAATGTCAAGTTTGTAGTCAAGATGTCCCACTCTTAAGAGTTCTATTTTGTTTGTGGTCACGGAAGCAGAAATCAGTTCTCAGCTCCTTCACAGTCCACGTCTTTAAGAATTCAAGAAATTTATAACGATAACTGATTTGTAGTACAAAAAGGGTGTAAAGAGGGGTGCAGTCTTTATAATCTCGCTCGTGCGTGATGCACGAAAGGCACGCTTTTAGGTAGTGGTATATTGGTTATTTACCTTGCACTTTTCTTAGCAGTAAATATTTGAAAAGTTCCAGAACGGTACCGTAAAAATTCCCACAACCACTTAATTTTTCAATTTGGTTAGGTTCAAAATTTTTGACAATTGAATCGGCCACTACCAATCTCTCTCTATAAATCATAGCTCATGCTTCAGTTATATGTTACTGGTCATGTGGTTTAAATACCTTTGCCTAATTAGTTTTGTACAGAAATATTTCTTTGAATTTTTTTTTAATATGTTAAATATGTTATATCTAGCTTTCAAATATTCACTTTAAGCCTTGTTTTGGAAATAAACACTGAATTTGCATTGTAGAATAAAAGAAACTCTAGTGATTCGAGATTTAAAACCTGCTTTAAATGAAAATGTTGGCAAAGAAAAACGTTTTCTCTACTTCTTGTTTCTCAAAGATATTCTGGGAACCAGGATTTACCAGTTTTGTCAAGGATACCCTGTTTAACTAGACTAATTTTTCTCAGTTAGTTCAAGCCTGGTTAAACTCTTATTAATTCAGTTCTTCAAGAGCCAGGTTTAGCCCGGTTTTTCTGGTTATTAAATGAGAAACCAGGCTAGCCAGTGAAACCCTGGCCATGCATGGTATACCAGGATAACCTGGTTTATTGACTTACTTTAAGAGCCTGGTAAAGCCTGGCTGGGGACCCATTTATCCCTATTTTCTTGCCCTAATTTTTACCCCCGAGTCCCATTTTCCCCAAATTTAGATCCCTGTGCTCTGATGAAAAAATTGATCCCAGTTATGCTTTTACACAAAAATTTCAACTCAAAAAACTTTGTTTATCCCCAGACATGGAATATAGAATATGCTCAACATTAACTTTTTAGATCAAGTTGTAAGTTGTATCAGAGCTTTAAAGATAAATATAAGTCAACCTCTTTTTGTGCATTTAGTTTATTTAAAATACTTTAAATATAATGTTTGGCGATACTAGATAGACAAATGTTAAAACGCGATTTTCTTAAACGGGAGCTTTAGTAAGATACATAATGTAAGTTATTATTAATTCGTACCTTAAAAGTTATTCCCGATCCACTCCCCTTTAAGTATCGCACGTCTTGAAAGATCTTGCGGCGGAAACTTGACTTTTTCATATGCTACGTTCATAAAGAGTATTTAAAAGGTTTATTTTCAGACAGTTGCTCTCACGAGTAAGGCCACCGGAGGTTTATAAGCCAATCACAAGAAACCATAAGATTCAAAATTCGAACTGACATCAAATACATTTTTTGCTAAACAGCAATCACAGCTGGTTGGTACCCGGTTGAAAAACGTACAGCACTGTAAACTACTTCTGAACTAACGTCTTACTCTAGCTTTCCACTTCCTATCCAGTAGGAATATCTGCTTGCCCTCAGGGATAAATTGTCCAGTTGATATTAATGTCCTATCTGTGTGGGTCAGAGATGTTTTATTTCCAAAGAGACTCTTGCAACCAAAGACGTCGGTTGATTATGAATCTCAGGCAGCTGACCTGCCTTTTGACAGATCTTCTTTTTCCTCCTTCTGGCTGACAGGCTTTACTGGTCTACATACAGTAATGTGATATATTAATAAAGTGTAATCGTTTGCCTCACGATGTAGTCACTTAGTGATATGTAGATCGCGAGGTTTCAACTGCGTACTGCCAGTGTTCATTAGGAATTGCAACTCTAAAAGACCTTGCCTTGCTGGTCTTCGTCGCCTCGTGAACTTATATGACTCCAAGCTCGGTTCTGATTGGTCGATTCTTAGCTGCTGAGATTGGTGCATTTCTCACTTCGTTGTTTGTAGGAGCCGTTGCCTCTGACTGGTCGCTGTCGTACGGATCTGACTCCTACTGCTGTGTTTCTTGATTAAGGGAAACCAAGCTGCTGGAATTTCTATTCTGCTATCCCTGTTGATGTTGTTAGGGTCTAGTCTTATGTATATTTCTTCTTTCACTCTGCTTGTGTTACAGTGTCACGATCACGATCAATTACCAATAGCAAACCACTTGCTTTACACGAGGTCAAAAATTAAGTGATGCAAGCCACTGGTTCTACAGATTAACAGCTTTTTCTGCATCAAGCCCACTATTGGCTTTTCCTGGCTTCATAACTAGATTGTCAGAGGACATATCTGGTTGAACGTCCAGAGCTACTCGTTCCAGCTTTGAATCTAATTCAGAAAAGTTGTCCACCTGAGCTTTGTCCCCTTCCTCTCCGTCACCACCTGACTCAGATGAATCATCTGATTCAACTGACCCCTGGAGCAATGAAACTAGGCGTTGCTCTTCAAGGCGGCTCAAACAGAAGTTGTATCCATCTTTTATTATCTGCACATTCCCGCATGATACCCTGTCTCAGGTGAATTTCTATCATCACGGTGCCCAATCTGGTATACAAGAGGATCTTCTAGTTCTGACTGTTCCAGCCATCTTAAACCCAGGAATGATACTGTTACTTCTTGTAGTTGTGCTTGAGAGCAACTACGTCGCCTTCTGAATAGATGTTAATCCTCATATTACTTGACGGCGCCGTTTTTCCTTCACTCCCTTGAACCTCTTTCAGTAGATCGACTTCTGTGCCGCACATTCCTTCCGTTCTGAACATACTCATAGCAAGTGGAAGTGTACCAACTCTTTGGCGTTCTCTCTTGTTCTTTGCTGTCGTACACCTCGTCCTGCAATGTCCGAATTCTTTCGCAAAGCTCTGCAAAGCCTTCCTTTGAATTGTCGCTCCTTTTCGTCCGCGCTCATAAATGTTTAGTGATTTCCTAAACTACTTTAAGTGACATTTCGTCACGGGCCATACGACTTATTTCTATTCCGCGAACCAATTCTATGCTCTAGTTTTTATTGTGATAGCGATTCAGAAAAAAAGATGATGGTCATTAATTCCCCAAAAGTTGTCTCACCTACAAACGTAGTAAAATTCAATATCATCATCAGGAATTCTGCCCTTAACGTTTGTGCAGCGTTAATGAACCATACATTACATCGTTATTATTTTTTTCCAGTTTAATGTCAAACGAACCCCAAAGGACGTCTGCGGGGAGGCTAGTTTAATGCCTGATATTTTCATTCTCCTTAAACTTGTCAGGTAATTCCATTTTTGTAATTATTTTTATTGACAACTTCATGTATTTGTTTCCACCAATACACCATGTTACCGTTGTGCCCTTGAAACATATTATTACAGTATTGATAGGTCAGCAGCATTCTCGATTTATTAACTTCTCTTGGTTCTTTAATAAAATTCTTATATCATCGTTTTTTTCTCCAAGAACACGTACTTGTTATGAATTGTTTTCTTCCTACCTATATATCACCAACGGTGTATTAAGAAGACTACACGAATGACCTTTTTTAAACTAATAACCTTTACTGTGATTGAAATTTGTGAATACTGCATCCCCTCAAGGACTGCAAGTGGCTCGATGCATATACCAAAAATATAAGATATCCCCTTAAAAAATCCTTCGGTATGACGGTATCTTCACTTCCGGTGGTACCAATTTTGATCCTCTTAACTTTGCATATAGTAATCAAAGTTCAACTGCTCCACCACAAAGTGAACACGGTCTCTTATAAAAATAGACATCGGCAGTCACACAGATAACTTAAGGAACTTGCATTTTTCAGTTCTAAGTATCAAAGGAATCCCTCTAATTTTAGATTTCTTGTTCACTTGAAACTGATTAATGTTTCCCGGCTTAAATTCACGTTAACTATTTCCAAAATCATGACATGCTCAATTAGAATGTGGAGGCAAATTGGTAATAAAGGTATTTCGACACGGAGGATCTTACTATAGTTTGTTTTGCCATGTCGCCTCTCGCCCCCTAGCCTAACTATTTTAATCAATCGAGAGCTTTAGATTCAACGACGAGGACGACATTTAATTTTAGGTTTTCTCGCATATTGTCTAAAAATAGACATCCCGGAAAGCCTCATTGTACTTTTTTTCACCGCAAAAGTTAGTTCGCTTATTTCCGTTGATGGAGGTAAAGCCCTCTCCCGATCGCTAATTGATAAAATTCCTAACATTCAATAACTTGTTTTCGCCATTGCGATATTCCCGCCAAAACGTGTTGTAGAATGACGACGGCTATCACGTCTTCCAGCCAAAATGACGTTGGTTCGCGGGCGTGTTACTGCTTAGTATTGGAAAAATCTCGATCTCATAGTCGTCCTCGTCTTAGAATCTAAAGCTCTCTAATATTTGAGTTACTACTAACCTGGCAAAGTTGATCAGCCGGGCTCCGACCCTCATCTGCGGAGTCCAATATGTTTGGCGAACGAGATCATTCACAGTTACAAATATACCTTAAGATGATCTGACAGGTAGTCAGCCATTGGCTACTGAGGACTTCTCGTAAACTGACATGTAAAAGATGTTTCCATAGCCACGGGAATTTTTCAGATGAGCACTCCTCAATTTGAAGGAGTTCCGCCGAATTAGCCAGTGTTAGAAAATTTATGGAAAAAATACTTGAGACTATTGATATAAACTGTTAAACTTGTTTAGACGTTAAACACAAAGGACAAAGTGAACAGCATTAGAGAACGATTGTTTCATATCCTATCACGTCCATCGCGACAAATAATAATAATGAATAGATTAGTTAATTGTACTTTTATCGTCACTTTTTATTTATTGTCACTAAAAGAATTGTCCTTCGAACATTTCAAGTGTCTTGAATTAATAGATAACACTTTGGTAAAATGGAAAATAACAGCAGCGTTACTCGAACTGAGCAATTGGCCTTATCATAAAGCGAAATTAATAATTCATGGCGATTGCAATTTAGCGTTGTAAGTTGGGAGTAAGAGAGATGGTAATACGTTTTGAAAGTTGTTGAAATTAAATTCTGTCGATTCTAAAACGTTGCTGCCATCAGAGATGCTCTATTGTTCTATTCGGTGAAAATACGTGGACATTTCGCTCGTTACTAAGGGACGGCTTTTATTACGGAAAGGGTTTTCTTTGTTAAATCATTTATTAATTTTTTTGCCCCAAGGGTCTGTTTATAACAAAAGACGGTTATCCAATCAACACGGTTGCCTTGGAACTACCGCAATTGCTTCTTCTAATTCTATAAGCCGTGTTTAAAAGGAAGTTGGGTTACCCTGGCGCTAGCAGCCATTCCTGCCTACACTCGCCTTCCAAGAACATCTTTTTAATTGTTTTGGGGAGCTTTTTATAGTCATGTTACGTCATATGTCGGATTCAGATTTATTTCATTTTTTAAAAATCTTAGGAAGATTCGATTAGAAACTTCTGTGAGTGTTCAAAGACACTTTTCTGAAGCTTAAAAGGGCCTTTTTATGTGGGGTGAGCCAGCCTGGTTAGCTGGGCCTGGCTACTTCGGCACATGTCTTATGAGCCTTATGTGAGAAGGCAAGCCGGCCCGCTTGCCGAGGTCTCGGTGCGAACAACCGGGATCTTGGCAAGCCGGGCCAGCTCGATTTCTCATCGGCAATTTTAAGAGAAAAATAAGGCATGAGCCGAGCCAGGCGGTAAAAGCGCCAGTCCGGTTAACTGGCTTGGCTCCCTTCATATAGGCAGGCCCTTAATTACACTGTACGCAAATCAAATACCAGTATCTTAGGAAAATTTTATACATCTAATTCAAATTATGATCTGTCTATGAGAGCGATTATTTGTCCATCGACCCGTGACTTTACAAGTATGTTCCAGCTACTTGTTAGTCAGAGTTTGTTCACATCAAATCAGTAGTCAAATGTTTATGGGTTAATTATATAACTTTTGAGGGGCAGTGATTAAGTTTAATGGCCGAGAAGAATGTGCCTAAAATTTCTTTCGTGACCTGAGAGGATGAATCAAACTGTGATAAATTTTAATTCCTATCTTTTGGAAAACGGGGCTTTCTTAATACATCTCTCAATATTATTATGTAAAGGGCATGAGGCTTCTCGCAAAATTAGATACATTGGTTGGTGGATGTGCAGAAACGAGAAGTCCAAAGACTACTGCAAAGCTGAAAACGTGTGTTGCTTTTTTTAGAACCGTTTCGGCTGGCAATACCCGTCCAGCCTTCTTCAGGTTTACAAATGTTACTGAATTTATGATAGGAATTACAATATTATACAGATGGAGAATGTCCCAATAAATATAATTGTTTAAAAGGGAGAGGCACGTAAATGACGTACAACATAAAAAAGAGAAAAGAAAAACATAGAAAAATAAAGAAGATTTGCACTTATTTCCGTCGATTTACTAAAGTAAAATTTCTTATCATTCATTCAAAATATTCTTCTGTTTATGATCGGCTAAAATTCTCCGGTTAATTCTCCTTAACCAACCAGGTTTGAACAAACTTAGATGACGTTTGCGATATTTGGAAAAAGACATCAATAGTACAGGCTAATGGCAAGAAAAGGAACTAGAAAGAGAGACAGCAACCGATATACCCTGGGTACGAGGTAGCGTTCGGTAAAGCAGTACTAAATGGCGGAAATTTCACACGTTTTGGCAAAGAAGAAATAGCGGAACTACTGCCCAAGGATTTAGCAAGAAAAGCAAGAATAGAACTAGACGGACAACATCTGCTATTTAGAGAATAACTACAGAACTTTAAAACATCCGTCTATCTGAACTTGCCAAGAAAGAGGCAAATCAAGATGGGGACTTTTAAAACATCCATCTAGGAAAACAGGTTTTAGCTTGTTTTCAAACTAAAAGAATTTTTAGAATTATTATTATTTCAGAATATAGGACAGGCAATGAGTTTAGTTCGAAAAAAGGACAGAAAAATGTACTCAGGTTGATTAGAATCCATGAACAGATGTCAGATTGCAGTCGTAAAACTGGTTAATTTTAATCTCCAAGTTTGTAACCTCATTAGAATAGTGACCAATATTTATACGACACGAATATAGCCTGGCGGGCCGCGCTACGTATGGCCCTTTGTGAACCTTGAAACAAGCCGAGAAGAAAGTTTGTAAAATTAATCTAAAAATTGTATATAGAAACATAACAAAACTGTTATACCTAAAAGGAAAACTAAACGAAAAGAAAAGAAAAGAAGAGAAACAGTTTATGCCAGGAATCGATCTCAGGATCTTTGACGCACCGGACAAAAGCTTTAACACTGGGCCGCGAGGAACACACAACAAGGATTCGTCGAAATTTTATTATTAAAACCTTCGAGCCTTATTAAACGTGAATTGAAAGATATTTTTCAGAAGAATGACTGCAGCCTCGACTGTGAAAACCCAACGTAAATGCATTTCATCGCATTTACATGTAAAGAATGGAAGCCCAACAGTCTAGGCCGATACGGTATAAACTCGTCTGCGAGCAAAACGTGTTTTGTTATCCGCTCGATGGTCGCTCATATGTTAAGGCTAATTATCCAAAATCGCTTCCATTTTCTCTTAAAGTACTTTAGCATTCGAAATCTATTGAGTGATGTTCCCTCTGCTCCGCTGTTTGTTGATGGCGTCTCAATCTTTGTTGCTTGCGCCGTTGAATTTGAAGTCGGCGTTCCCGTTCCAGAGGATTTTTCGGTGTCAAATCTTCCCCTGCGAGCATTAACAATTCGGCGTTCTTGTGTTTGCTGTTCTGTTTGCATGAGAAATGTCTTGATATTCACCGATAGTAAACATTGTTTCGCAGACGATGAAAAGACAGCTCTTCATGAATACCTTGGCCTA